AGCTGGGCAGCCTATGGAGAAGGCATTCCTCGCAAGCCCAGCACATCTCTATCCTGACTGCGGTAGCAGAAAACCCAGACTCCCACCTGGGAAGCACCAGGCAGGTCTCCCTCACCACCAAGAGAGATGTGCAGCTGCCACCTCAGGCCCTGCAACTCTGGCTGTGTGCCACAAGTTGCCAGACTCGAGTGCTGCCGCTCTGGGCTATGTTCGCAACACTGGTCTCTAGAGCTGGGAAAATCTTTCGGGTAAATAACGCTCCCCAAAAATACAATTCTGAGTGACCAAACCTAGTGAGTGAATTTTCCAGCAAATCTGTGAGCATTTCTGCCAGCGTGCTCCTCTCTCTCACCACAAAGATTCTTTGATAAAAACTGAAATAGACTTCAAAGTCTTTTCAGAAAAATAGTTTCAAAATCAAACACCAAAAGAGGTGTTGAGATTAAACGTTCCTGAATTGAAGAAAGGAAAAAAAAAAGAAAACAAGGTGAAAAGTTCCATTTCAGATAAACCAAACTTCTTATTAATTTTTTCTCCCAGCTCAGTCATTAAATTTGAAGTCAGGTCTTCAGACATCTGTGTTAACGAAGCACCTCACAAAGCCCAGGGTCTTCCCATTCACACCTCAGGCTTTTGGGAGGACTCAGAGTTTGAAAAGCTGAACATTGCAAGCTCCAGGGCTGCCTTCCCAAGCCAGCCAGTACAAAGATACTCCTGGGGAAGATCAGTCCTGTTCAAACAGCAGTTGCTGTATCATAAATCCTTTAGCAGCTTGAACTTCACATTTAAGAGCCTAAAACTTCCCTATCAAGCACAGGGCACCCCTTTTCCTTTTGCTTGGGCTACCAGGGTAGGGTGGTGTAGGCTTTATCTACTAGGATTTTGGCAAAAATTCTGGTCTCACCAGGGACTTGCTTCAAGGAGAGGTGTTGGCTGTGAGACAGCCCATAAAATTAGTCTGCCAAAGGCAGGCAAGGGAACAGCATGACCCCAAGTTGGAAAATTCCACTTGGTCTCTCTGTGCCAAGAGGGTCAGCAAGGGCTGCTGGTCGTCCTCAGAGGCTGCAGGTCCGCACATGGCTGCTGGGCTCAGCAGATAAGCAGGCAGCGCTCTGGGACAGAAGGGTGTTGAGAGCTCTGGGTTCTGGCCACAGACCACTCGGGGCTTGCAGTACAGAAAGTCCTGCCTTACCTCCTGCTTTTGCTTCATCCAAACATGTGCTGGAGAGGAGCAGCCTGCTGGCTGCAGCCTTGTCCCTCCCCATCACACCCTACACCCCTTTTGGCTTCCTTCCACATCGAACTGTAACAGCACTCTGCCTTGCCTGGGACATTAACCCATCCAAGCACACAGCTTCTCTCAGCACATCTACAGATCCTACTGTACTATTGCATACTTACGGGCCACACTATCCTACTAGTTTACTTGAAGATTTACTGGATTAATTACAGGGAGAAAACAGCCCATGAACAGAGGTCTAGTAAACTGCATTTGGCTGAAATGACCCGAATGGGTCATCTGGCACCAGCACGTCACCAACAAACGAACCTCCCACTCCAGTCATCTGCAATGCTCTGCTGAGGGGCAAAAGCCTTCCTTCCTAGCACGACCATGCTTGACAAGACCCCTGTAAACACACAGAAAATTCTGAAAACATGACTTACCTGAAAAATCTTTAATAATGTTTTCATGTAAACCTTGCGGATGCCAAAGGAGACTCCAAAAATTGCTGGCACAATGATGAAAACCAGAAGCAGAGTGAAGAGGACAGTTATTGAAATCCCCAAGAGATTAACAACCAGGCTGTCAAAGGGGAGCAGGAGGAACATGGTGAAGGGCCCAGGAAAGGCTGGTGCCCTGCAGCCAGACAGAAAGGCTGCCCGGAGCGATTAACCAGTCCTCCTGTTATTCAGCAACAGTCTCACACATGCACTGAGTCCACAGCCTGCTCACAGACCCCATTCCAAAGTTCACATCCTTTTTGGGCTCTGCGAGAGAGGGAACGCAACAGGATCAGGGAGAGCAGTTGGGAAAACAAGCAAACAGCCTGCCAGGAGCCCAGGTAAGTTCAGACAGTGTGGGCTGAGGAGCTCAAAGAAGACGGAACACACACAGAGGTTCCTCCATGGGCGTGCAGTGGACACTGCAGTGACACAAGTGCGTGAATGGATATCCTCCCAAGGCGCCACTGAGCAAGTCCTGCTGTGGGGCAGCTTGTGAAGAAGCTGGCAGCAGAATCCCCTTCTGGCTGCTGAGAGCATGCAGAGTCTCTTCACAGGGACAAGGTGGAGTCCATCCGTGAGCCTGCATTGGAGGAGATCGAGGGAGTTGGCACTTGCAGGAGCCTACCGTGTGTGGAGCTATTATTGTTCTTTCCGTGAGGACACAGGCACTAGCGCAGATCCTTGCATGACGCCTGGAACAAGTTTAATTCCAGAGGTCCCTGGCATCCACTCATGCTGAAGGGTAGTTACAGACACGAATGAAGCCTGTGTCCCTGGAAAGCTCTTCAAACAGCAAGTTGGCTTCTTGGCACACGAGGCACTCACATGCCACCAGCACTAGTGGAGGAAAGAGAAACTGAAGTCAGGCAAGTCACGCTGCTCGGAAAGACGTCAACTCAGAGAGGGTGGCAGGAGGCCAGGGACAGTGGGCTCTGAACCTGGAAGGCAGTGCTTGGGCTGAGGTCACATCACTCAGAGCAACTCCTGAGACACAGCAGACTCGGACTCCACTCCAGCTACTGCCTGGCACTGTCAGACTTGGGAATCACCCCCTGCTGCCACTCGTCCTCTATTTTCATACCATTCACACCTCAGATTGAGCAGACTTGTCCAGAACCACGCCTAGAGCACAGGACGCTGCAATCAGGTCCCAAGTACAGGAAAGGAGCCAATGGAGTGACAGAAAACCCATCCTCATGACAAAGATCTTATTGCCTCTCTCATTTCAGAGGCATCCGAGAGCATTGAGCCAGCCAGGTACCCAGATTCCTGGGAAGGAATCACTTCCTCTACTCCTGTACACACACCTCACCCCCCGGTCACACAGGGCAGCTTTACAGGACAGGAAGTTAGCCCAAGGGGAGAATTATTGCTGATGATTAGCCAAAGCGGAACTTGTTGGGGCACAGGGACCAGTCAAAGGTGAAACACCCGGCACTACAGCCCTCCCGGGGGAGGACGCCCTCCAGAGCATGGGTATGCACAAGGCCAACTGAGGCTAGTAAAAAGAGACGAGTCTGCTCGGGGGTAGACTTCCCTCCAGATACCACCTTCACCTGGCTATGGATGTCAACCTGAAGATGGGATTTAACAGGTAGCCGACAAGGACATAGGAGCAGAGAAGAGTCTGGGGAGATCCTCTTGCTCCCCTTACAGTGTGTTCCAGCTGCTGGCTTAGCACTGCTATACCAGTAATGCTAAGAATATTGTCAGTGCTTCAAAGGAACATGCATGCCATGTCCCGTGAGAGGCAGCTCTACAGCCACGCATGTAACTGCCCATTATGCCAGAGCTGTCACCCATCAGAACCAGGACTCGTGCTGGCGAACTGGTCAGACCGGCCACCTGAGCTGGCAGCCGCTGCCCTAAGAGGGGCTCAGTTATTGCATTCCTTCATTGTGTCACCCAGTTTTGGCCTGTCAGGGCAGGCCACACACCAGGCAGCATGCACGGCCAGCAGCCACGTGTGATGAACCCCGGGGCAAGCGCAGGTAGCCCTGCCTGCTGGCTACAACCTCTGGGGCTCACGCCAGGACGACGCTGCCGACGCCCCCGGGCTGGCAGGACGCTTGTCCGGCCCCACCGTTGTAACGCCCCAGGGCAGAGGCAGAACCCGGCTGCCGGCGCCGCGGCCCGGTGGGCGCAGCAGTCGCATCCC